GAAGCCCAATTTGCAGATTCAAAAATAGAGCTTACTTCTATAAATATTATCGAATGCTCCTCTCTCCTTGTTGTATTGCTGGAGGAAGGACCTAAATCCATGTTTGGATGTCTATAATAATAAACAATGTTGAACTTTACTCAAAGTTGACCAGTAATTTAATTAAGAATGGCGTAAAGCGAATAGCGTTCATTCATACATGCACAATGTCAAAGTATTCCCACTGGATTAATAACACAGGGCAAAGGTGCGATGAGTGGTAACAAACCTTTCATTCAGGAATATTTGATATTTAACTCCAGAAAATGGCCCGTTTAGGTAGATAGAAGAGGATTCAGCTAATGATTGAGTTCTACTCGGCGATTTCTAAGTGCTTTTCAAATCTCCACAATTAGAGAACATAGTTCGTGTTACCAGGAGGTACAGCGTAAAATCAGAGGAGGGTAGAAGGAAGAAAGTGGAAGGGGAGTGAGAACAGAATGCTTCAAAACCAACCGTAAAGATTGGAGAAAAAATAGTCAGTAGGCAACGACAGTGACTAGAGAAAATCGATTGTAAGGATTAGGTTAACCTTGACCTGAGAAGAGCTAAATGCGTTGAGTACATTCGTTTTAAACATATGTTTGAACAAAAAACCCCTTTATCGGTCCAGCAATAATCTTGTCACGCGTATAGAAACTCAGAATTACAGAATGAGCAGATCAAGACGAGAAAGAAAATGAATAAGTAAGCAAATCTATTCGTATACGCACAGTAAACACAGCAATAAAAAACCAAAAGAGAACTTGTTTGTCAAATCATAAAATGTGTCTAATGAGTGTATTATTAGAGCAAATAACCTTTTGAATTACGGCGTGATGATATCCCAGTTGAATTGAATTTAAATATTCACTTCATTACATTACAGAAAGGAAATAGGTAGCAGCTAATGCAATGATCATAAACAAACAGGTTTCTCATTTTTTTACTCATTTTAGCTTAAATCGCAATAATCGCCCTGCTAAACTGCCTGAAAGTCAACCATGCCCTCAAACAATCATCGTGAAATTAGAAAGAATCCAAGATGGCCTGGGTGGGAAATGAAAATTTATTGACTTAATTAATAGGCTTAATTCGCAATTTAAAAATCTATAGGTCGATCGGGTGATCAAACAATCGAAAATCTAAAAATTCACTGAACCTATTATGACCTCGTATATTTAGATAGATGAAAATATAAGGGACCTAAACTATTTTCGAGAAGAAAAACAAATATTCGCATAACTAACTTACTGAAGATATATTGAATGATTTATTCTAAAGAAATACTAATCCAAATAAGTTCTAATTAGATTTATTTGATAGCAATAAACAGTTATTTTATAGCGACATACAAGGTAGATTTGCCTTCTTCCTCAATGTAAATCACCGATTATGATTAATCCTACTAACGACTTTCAAAGGGATATGAAATAGCCCCTGAGATTCAATTTCCCGCAAAAACAGTGAGTGTTTTATAACATATAAAAATGGTATAATTTTAGATTTTTCATGTACAAAATTGTCAAATTTTTACTTTCGTTAAGATATTAATAATGAAGCGCACTTATTTATGGTAATATTTAAAATTATTTTGAGGGCATCATGTCAGAAAAATAATAAAATTAAAATTTTACAGACTGTAAGGCAATTATTTTGGCTTTTACCGTAAAGTTAAAATTAATGCACATAAGATATTTGAAACACTTTACAAAGGCCCAACGGATATATTCTTGGAATGTACATAAAGGGTTCCATATTTGGTTTCTTAAATAACTGAATATTATTTACTTTGACAATTTGAACAAGAAGGAACAATTGTTGTAAAGATTTTTAGTAAATAATGGCACTTTAAATTGGTAAAATAATCGTTCATGGAATTTTAGAAAATTTAATTGCATCAAATCATCCAATTTCGTTCACATGAATGAGAGGGTTCACCATTTCAAAGATTTAAAAGAAAAGAGCTACAATCTACTTTTATCATAAATAATTTTTGTCATCTGTTGATATTATAAAGGTTGATAGAACCTAGTTAATCATGATTCCCGCAATTTATGCAATTATGAACAATAAAAACTTAATTTACAGAACATTTAACGAACGTCATAATTCATGGACAGTTGAAAATATGTTCCTTCCTCTGGTAAAATCGGCAGGAAAAGCTTATTTCATCACTTTCTTATTAAGGGAAATACCTGGTGAAATTGGACAGTTAAATATGCAATTAACGTCGAGTGGATAAAACATTGTTCATTTGCTCAATTTTTTTCAATGAAAATTTACTGCTGTGTGCTGAAAATTCATTTATTACTATTTTGATATTTGATTACAATATTGTCCAGATCAAGATCAAAATGGTCTTAAGCGTCACAATGGAGGCATAATATTTATTTATATCAAATGGCAGGCGTTTTGATAGTTATAATTAGCTCTTTAGTTGACTTCAGGCTTCACAGATGGGAAGGAACATCAAAGTGAAAAAGGTCGAGATGGGGGGGGGGACAGAAGAGTGTTTCAAAGATTTAAAAGAGACAGACACAAAGTTGAAAAAAGGTGAGGTGAGTACGGTTGAAGTAGTCGAATTTGACATAGAGTGGGGAGATGGTAGTTTGGAGTCTGATGTCAACTGCCGGTTAATAGACTTTTTTGCCGTATGAGCATACGTTGCCCAGGGTGCACCACGTGGGGGTAAGTCTATCGCACACCCCTGGAGGTACAAGATAAATCACAAGTATTTGAAAGATTAAATTATTATATAGAACAAGAGTGCGTTTTAAACGGACGCTTCAAATATTTTTAAACCCTCGTTATGTAGCACATTAACGTATATTTAAAAATTATTATGCTACTATGCAATTCCAATAATATGATAAATTTTTTTCTTTTACATATGAAGAGCCTCGTTATTCCACCCATTGTTATTTATGTATTAAAATTCAAATCATTTATTCAATTAAATTCGTTAATATTAAAATTTGATTTTGATTACTAATCGAACAAGATCAATATAAGCCAAGTTAATAATATCGTTATTTGAATTATTTAGCCCTTATTTGCTTTGACACGTAGCACAAACAGACTTCGATAACTGATTGGTTGCTCGTGGAGTTAAGGTCATCAACAACCTTCGAGTTCAACGATGGTAGTCACGAGACGTAGAAACATGGAAAAATCTGAACGAAGGGGATCGCTCCCTCATCCACAAATAAAACAATCGGAAAAATGTAAAGATGTACCCGGAATTATCCTCCTTACAGCGCTCTACATATTACAAGTATGTGGGAGACTTTCTTTGGTTTAAACCGTGATTTTTATTAACCAAAGATTTTCCAATTCTTACACGTAGTTTAAGACAAATTGATAATTTGTTTCTAATTTAATTGTGATTTCGTTAGCCCTCTGCGTGTATTTTGATCCAACTCGTTCATCCGCTATCGCTTTTCTATTTGCTTCACGCAATTTTAAATGTTTGGTTGGTTTTATTTTTTAAATGTTATTGTCGAATCTTTACAAAGCTTGGTTTCATTCAGATCTTCTCAGTCTAGATTGTGTTTAGTAAGGATTGTTGTCCTTCTATTATTTATTATTGGGTTGGGAACTAAGTCATTGCCGTTTTTGTTAACGGATTCACTCTACTTTCTTTTGTTTTTTTAACGTGGCCAGAGCATCTAACCTATATTTTTTTTCTTACTGTATGGGCTTCTAGGATAATTAGTAAAATATTTTTTTTGTTTAGTTCTTTAGTTTTGTTTTTATCCCAATTTAAAAATGAAAGAACAGGACGTGCACTTCCGACACGTTTTATTGTATTACTTCCGAAAAGGCAAGAACACATCGCAAGCACAAAAGAAGTTATGTGCCGTATATGGAGATGAAGCCTTAAAAGAAATGCAGTGTCGAAATTGGTTTAAAAGATTTCGTTCCGGTGATTTTTCACTGAAAAATTCACAACGATCTGGCCGCCCAGTCGAAGTGGATGAAACCCATATCAAGGCCATTATCGATTCAAATCGTCACAGCACAACACGAGATGATATTGCAGAGAAGCTCAATGTGTCGCATACATGCATTGAAAAAAAATGAAAAACCCTTGGTTATGTCAAGAAACTTGATTTATGGATCCCTCACCAGTTAAAGGAAATTCATTTGACGCAACGGATTAGCATCTGTGATTCGCCGCTACTGAAACGCAATGGAAATGATCTATTTCTGAAGAACCTAGTTACTGGCGACGAAAAGTGGATAGTTTATAAGAATGTTACTCGCAAGAGATCATGGGTGAAGCAAGATCAACCGGCCCAAACAGTATGAAAAGCAGAGATTCACCAGAAAAGATTATGCTGTCAGTCTGGTGGGATCACAAAGGAATTGTGTATTTTGAACTCATGCCGCAGAACCAAACGATAAATTCAAATGTGTATGTTGAAGAACTCGAAAAACTGAAGGATGCAATTGAAGATAAGCAGCCGACATTATCAAATCGGCGGAAGGGTGTTGTTTTCCATCATGATAACGCAAGGCCCCTGCACACATCTTTGGTTACTCGGCAAAAATGATTGGAACTGGGTTGGGATGTTTTGTCACACCCACCATATAGCCCTGACCTTGCGCCTTCGGATTACCATTTGTTTCGTTCCATGCAAAACTCTTTAAATGGTAAAATTGTTAAGAACGCGGATGATGTCGGATCACACCTAATTCAGTTTTTTAATAGCAAAGACCAGAGATTTGACGAACGGGGAATTTGTACTCTGCCAGAAGGATGGAAAAAGGTCATCGACAAGAACGGCCAATATCTAATTGAATAAAGTTACATTTTTAAACAAAAATTCCGAATTTGCCTTCTTATTTGAAATCGGCAATGACTTAGTTGCCAACCTAATAGTTGAGAGTCGCCAATCTTAGTCAGCGTGCAAGGCATTTTTAATGACGCCTTTTTGCATATCAATAATCTACCTCTATTTTAACTTTCCCTCTACCACATTTTATTATTTATGAAAAAATTAGGTCGTGCTATTGAACTCGATTTGATGATTTGCTGCATGAGCTAGATTTATCCTTAATAATATTCTAATTTTTTGTTAACAGCATGTAACGGCCTTTCGCCATCGCGGAGATTAGTTTATTTCATTGAATAAATTGATACAATGAGATATTTTGAGAGTATTAGTGGATTAAATTGTAAATTGTGGGAATTAATCAGCATTGTAATTAATCTTTAAATCTAGATTTTTTTAAAATTAAGCAAGGTAACCTTTGCCAAATTATATGCTCTGCGTGCTGTTTTTGTTTTTGAGATCATCCTTCAAGTGGCTGTGAGTCTCATTCGCTTTTTGACATAGTTTTATCTTTTACTGACCTGAAAGCATGATAATTGTCGAAAATGTGGTGTGGTGAATATGGCGGGTGTGGCAGAACTCCTCCATTTTATTTCTAATCTTCTTGTGAGATTTTTCTTTCCTGTTAAGTGAATTTGGTGTAAAGGAGGTGTTTTTTTGCCTTGACTACAAAGAAATGCATCTTTGTCTGTTATTCTGAGGGAACTGATGCGGCGGTACCGGAGTTATCTCTGTATTCAATTTACTGATGTTCTTAGGGTGTTATGGGACAGTTGGTCATGGCTATGTGCGTTTCTGTGGCAAGTCTTCCGTAGTTAACTGAGGATCTGTTGGAAGTAGGGTATTTAATCCCTGATTTTTGGCTTCATTATAATTCCTATTGTCCATTTTAGACTTCTTTGCCTAAATCCTTGTTAGTTGACTTTGAGCATTAATTTCAATTATACCCTCTTAAATGTTCAGGTCCTCTTGGTTGAAAAGCCGCATACGGTATCTGTCTGTTGTGCTCTCTATTTACGTTGGGGGTTGAAATTTTCTTCTTAACACTGAAAGAAAGTTTATTGCTCCTAAATGATGCCCAATAAGTTGTCTACTTTAGGGAAAACTTGCTGATCTGTTTTCGTCACGTTGTCTCTACACACAAAGTGAACTCAAGCATATGTTTGCAAAATTTGCGATTTCTTATGGATACACCTAATTTCATCTTTACTTTCCATCGTAGTACTCTGTCGTTGTTCTCATCTGTGCATCTTTTTGCTACCTGGGGGCGCACAACCAAATCTTGATTGCGCGCAAATAAATCAACGCTTCAAGTAGTTCTAAACACGGAGTATTGAGCATCATTGGATCACAAGGTGTAACTCTACCCTCTAGAAAGTATTAACAAATCTAATTGAAATAAATGGAGGCCTATAATGTAGCAATTAATTTTTACATAATTTTACTTGTTTATTTACATTCCCATTAATTAATTTTTTATGATCTCTATGATGTTATTACTTTTCAGCACAAACTTTTTAGCAACAATTCTTGGGAAGAAAATGTTTTAAAATATTTCGAAGAAAACATGAATTGAATTATTACTTTTTTTAAATGAAAAATATTAGCCTCGGGTTCTTTTGCTGGTTCTTAATTCCTTTTAACAGACGAGTGTGTTAGGTAATTCAGGCAAATTCACTCTATTTCTTTACAGCAGTAGTATGTGTATTGGAAATCTTCCACCAAGTGTTGAATAACCAGCCGTCAAGTAGTTGTTTTCGTTCATATACCCGTCGACTGCTTACCACGACCCTCTTGTCTTATCGTTGGACTTGTAGGTTTCGCATTTCCGTTTCGCTTTTCATCCTTTGTTTTGGCTTTTCCATGGGAGACTCATCTTTCTTAATTCTGCTCTATTTCTATATGTCCTCGCTTGGCGCACAACTTTCGAATATGACATTTGTGCCTTCTTTGAGTTGGCTGCCTTAGTTTGTCAAGGCCATTCATAATAATTGATTTAATTTAGGTGGAGATGCGTTTTATTGAACTCTTAACTTCCGCCCTCCGCCTTTCTGTCTGGTCTACTCTTTGGTCTGATCGATGGAGTGGTATCATGGCACGCATACATGGTGGATCCCTAACTTGTATACTGTTGTACTTGTTTATAGCCGTCATAGTTATTTGATGCATTACAGCCGGCCTTCATAACATTTTTCACATATATCATGGTACACGAACCAGGAGGCGCCATCTTTGTAGGCCATGATAAGCATCGGAAAATCACCTTCTCGGTGTTTATAATATCGTGTCATTATTTTTCTCCATTCCTTTGAGGTGGAAAAAAATGTCGACGTCTTTTTGGCAATTCCTTGATAGAATTGGGTTTTCATAAATGATAACAAATCAGGACTGGAATTAGTCAGATTCGCGTTGAAAGCAGTCATACGACTTCTCCTCAATGGAGACCGGAAACATGCATAATTTCATTTCGCACTTTCTCGCTTTGTACTTTATTGAAAATGTGTTCTTATGGCCGGCTTCCGTTCTACATCTTCCACCGTTTTTTTGCAGACCGTTTTGATTTTTTTTTTACCTGAGGATCTTGTGACTTACCTATTACAATTGCACCGGTAATGTTTGTTGCTTAGTGCAAGGGCTGGCGACTGGACTTTGCAGGATGCGTGGTTTAAGCTTAAGCTTATCTCTTATAAAATTCTTTTGACACTAGGTAAGATGGGAATTAAAAGCCCGCAAGGTCATTGCGGCAAAGATACTGCATATAAATATTGGCCAAAATATATACGATAAGGAGTACAAAGGTGGGATGAAGCGATCATCCTACCGCAGTAGAATGGCCGTTGCTACTTGTTGGCCCTTTTGTAAACGAATTTCTAAGCCTAGATCCGTTGAACTTCTAAAGTGATCTTTCCCATCTCTCGGCATTAAGGGTACTTTAATCCATGCAATTGGATGTGCCGAATTTCTCCCTTATTTTGATATTTTGCTCATTTCTGTTTATCTCTAGGGTATTCCTTTAGGCCTTGCAGCAGCTGTGCCTTATCTCCTTCAATCCAATCAACAAACAGCGAATTATCGACATCAGGCCATCTTCTCTTGGGTTTTTTGGCCTTTCTCTCTCAAGCTATGCTGGGCACCGATCGTGGACGCTGTCTACTTCAAACGCTTGGGCCGGCGCAAGTCTTGGCTTCTTCCCATCCAATACGCCCTCGGTATTGATTTCTTTGTCCTCGGAAGTCGGGTCGATCAATGGCTGGGCAGGCCTGAGGGCGATCCCTGGGGACCACTGGGTTCCAACGGAGATGTTCAAATATGGCCCCTCACCATTGCTTTCTTCGGACTAACTCTCCTAGCTGCTACGCAGGATATAGTTGTGGATGGCTGGGCCTTGACAATGCTCTCCTCGTAATACTCCCCCCCCCGTCTTTTTTTGTACCTTGAATCGTCACCCCCTTTCTTATTTGTGTCCATTGTGTAATTCCAGGGAGAATATTGGCTGGGCGTCGACATGCAACAGTGTTGGTCAAAACATCGGGTACATAGTCGGCTTCATGTTCTTTTTGGCGATTGAATCTCCAGATGTGTGCAACAACTACCTGCGCTCTGTTCCTGTGCCTGGACAAGGATTCATCAGCTTTTCAGGTTAGTTAATCTCTCTCAGGCAAAAGGAAAGTGCCAAGTCTCGCAATTACCAAAATTACGACTTGAGTCGGAGGTAGGGGTAGTAGTGGATGGCATTATATTATGTGGTAGAGAGATAAGACACCGCTGTTGAGGTATTATGCATGGAATGACTGAGTCACCTAGGAATGGTAAACATGCATGCATTATAATATTCAAATGGGGGGGGGGGGTGTGCGATAGACTTACCTCAACGTGGTGCACCCTGGGCAACGTATACTCATACGGGAGAAAAGTCTATTACCTGGCAGTTGACTTCTGACCTCAAACTACCATCACCAAACTGTATGTCATATTCGACCACTTTCACAGTACTCACCTTACCTTTTCTCTGCCTTTGTGTCAGTCTATCTCTTTTACATCTGTGAAGTCCGATGTCAGCTAAAGGGCTAATGATAACTATCAAAACGCCTGCCATTTGATATAATAGTAATACTATTCAAATGGCGGATGTCGTTGACAAGAAAAGGGGGGAGGGGAGGGGGGGGGAGTAATGTAGAAAGCAGTTTGAGATTGGCACCACGAGGTTTGGGAATACTCAGTCTAAAGAGAGTGTGTCGCTTTTTTTGGCAAATGATTTTGTGAGAGGAGATTCATTGTCTTTGGTGCGTGGCGTTTCAATTATCCCTTGCCTTTTGTGCCACTTAAACAGACTGAAGATTGGGGGAGGGGGTATTGGAAGCTATTATTCTCCGCTGCATCTGATGAATACTGACGCTGTGGACAGTACGAAATCATGGCCTCCTTTCTTGGTAACTTTCGTAAATGTGGTCGGCAGCTCCTCTCTTTCCCATTTTTTTGCTAGAACTTCCTTGAGATGAGGATTTGCGCTCTTACACCCTACCTCCCCCCCCTCCACTGTCACTTTTGGCTATCATGGCAAGACGAGCTCACAAGACAAGTATTAGCATCGGCTTTTAGCAGTAAAGTTAGCTTTTAATGGAGGCGCTTTGTAATTGAAATTTTGAACTTAAATTTATGCTTGCTTCTGGTTTTCCCTTCAAATTGCAGGCTTTCTCTATGCTTGCGGTGTTCTGTTCATCATTTCAACTACCCTTGTTGCTATCTTTAAGCGTGAAAATGATAACTCCGTACCTAAATCCAAGACAAAAGCTCTAAACGAAGCTGACAGTGACGAGGAAGAGTCGTCCAAAGATTCACACAGTCCTCTTCTCATAACTGAAAATGGGGAGTTGGAAATCCTTCCACATGGAACGGTTCCTACTTTAGCTCAGATGGAAGCTGATGCCACACCCAAGTGCCTCTCCCTAATGGGCACGTATCGTGTGATGTTGGGCATTATGCAACTCAGATCCGTCCTACGATATATCGCCTTCATTTTCATTGTTAAGGTATGCTTTCTCCTTTAACGGTTCTTTTGTGCTACTATGTCTTCTGAAAAGTTGGAGTATGGCTGAAGTTAATTTCAAAAATTATTATTTATTTGGTCCCATGTTCACTATTTTTGGACTGTCGCTTTGTGGCTAGATGTTTCTTCCATCAACAGTAACGCTAGAACGGCTTTTCTAGAGCTCTTAAAATGAATGGTAGTAGAATCGGAGAGGAAATGACGAATTTGCTGTCCCTTTCGTAGTAATTACAGAGTTTTATGTCGTTAAGAAGTGGCCTCTTTTTTAATTAATTTGATCTAAAGGAAATAATCTTATTGCCTGAATGTAAATACGACTTCTAGAGGAAGGAGATTTAAGTTGAACCCAAACCCATGCCTCTGGGAGGTTCAAGGTGATTCCCTAGGGGATCGGATCGAGTGATGTTTGACTTTGACGGGTCACTCTCATTAGCTTGTATTGAAATTCGCTAATACCAGTAAGAAGTCGGCTTAAAAATGTCGAATTCCTCGTTTGAACAACAAATACGTACATGTGTGTAGCTCTGTACGTATTGATGGGTTATTTACACCTTGTCATCGAAATAATGTCACTTTTTCTCCATTCAGTTTGTTTTCTCAGCCTCGGATTCAGTCTTTGGTCTGAAGATTCTGGAGCACGGTGTTTCAAAGGAGCGAATGGCCCTGATTGGATCAGCTGTTCTCCCTATTCAAGCCGTCCTTCCAGTTCTCATCACCCACTGGAGTAACGGACCACGACCGCTATGTGTCTACCTCAATGCAGCAATTCCAAGGTTTGTCATCCAATGGTTGAATTTGAGATCAAGTGCAAGTGGATTTATAATTGATTACTACTTTCTTGCTGTCTTTTAGAAATTTCGAATGTCCAATATTGCATTGCAAATGTAGAAAATTCAAAAGAGCTTGACACTCGATAATAATGCACCCTTGATATGGGCTGTGAGTGAAAGTTTGGACGAAAATCATTGTAAATTATCCAATTGCATATAGTGGGTAGATTAAAGTCAAAGTAGATATGGAGATGGCTCCAGGGGCATTGATGTGTGTATTAAGGTGGGAGAAAACCGTAATCTTGCCATAGTGACCACTTCCCTCCTCTGTTGTAGCATTGGGGCTCTGGATGAGTCCATATGGAGGGAGTCCCAGCTCCCCTCACTAGTCAACTCCATACTCAAGGAATCTCGTAGTTGCCAGCTTAGCATTTCCTATGTGCTCGCCGAATATGGATGAACATATCTTAGAATCATTCTCTCATTGTATTTCAGGGCTGTCGTCGCCATCACCTCTGTGCTAGTCGTCCACTACGTTGACTTTTTCAGAATTGAAACTCCAGTGGCTCCAGATTTGCTGAATAATTCAACAGGCACTGGGGCCTCTACCACGGTCTCTTTCTCAACTACCTTCTACATCCTTCTAATTGGTCAATTGGTTGCCTACACCATATTCTCAACCGTTATGTTTGTTTGCCAGATGTCTTTCCATGCCAAAATCTCTGATCCGTCTATTGGTGGCACCTATATGACACTTCTCAACACTATGGCAAATATGGGTGAGGCTTGAGTTTGGATACTACTTACTAAACTTAAACAGGGGTTATGATTTGCATGTTCATTTGCATTGTTTTCGTTTAGCTTTCCTTTTCCGCTCTATTTTATCAAAAAGGCTTTTTAAGAATTGTAAGTCGAGGTCAAGTCCACTAATTCCTTTTGCTAATGCAGAAGAAGAAGCGTGAGAATCGGTAACTTACTTTCTTGACGTGTGTATCCATTCACCCTCAGGCATTTTGGCTTGTCGCATAAACAATTTTTATGTGCAAATATGAGTACCAATCGGGTATATTTTTATTGACTTTGATATAAACACTTAGCATGTGCGTGACGCTGGTGGTTTGGTTGGAAGAAGAGAGCACAAATCAGGCACAAACAGAATTCTAATGCTACGGGTATTTCCCAATTGTCAAATCTCACAATCCAAATCAAATTCGACTGATTGTAGAATAAACGGTGCATTCAAATGTACGCCATGCTAGCAGAAGTGGGAGATGATGTCATCCTTGTCTTTAGGAATACAGCCGTTTTTTGTTATTTGGTTTAAATGCATAGATGTTTTACTGCCATTTAAGGCGTTGTTACAGTGCAGGGCCTTTAATTGGCGAAAACAAAGACAATATTTGATCATTAATCTTAGTTGGTCAATTTTTACCATTTCGTAGTGCTTATGTAATTGCTGGAAAGGAGACAAGTTAAATACACACAATTATTATTTGGATGTGTCTGCGAAAATCACATCTCCGTGTCGGTTTTGCGTCATAGAAATGTATCATTTGGACACTAATATGCTTCGAAAAGTCCTACATTAGAACTCGTATGTCAAACCATTTAACCTTGGAGTCATTTCTTTTTTCCTCTTTAAAGTACGATTGTCTCTCAAACTGTTTTTTCATGAGGATTTTATGTTGCACGTGTTTACCCCTTTAAGCTGCTGCGCTGCCGTCGACCACGATGTTGTTCTTCGTGGAACCCCTGACTTGGCGTTCCTGTGAAAATGCAACTGTTGAGAAGGCGAGTGCAGTTCTCAACACCACCACCACAGATCCGGGCAAACTGACCCAACTTGCTGGCCAATTTCTGCTCAAAAATGCAACCTGCATGAATGTTGATGGTGTAAATGCCTGCAAACTGGCTGGAGGTTCCTGTCGTACGATTGTGGATGGCTTCTACATCGAAATTGGATTATGTCTTCTTGTTGGTCTTGTATCCTACTTCACGATCCTTCGTGGAATGGCTAAGTCATTGGACTGTCTTCCACTCAAGGCCTATCGACTTCAACGGAAGACCTCTGAGTCTCTGTCATCATCAGCAGAATGAGTTTTAGTCGCCTGTTCTCACAGCCTGACTTATTTTTGTAATCGTCATGCGTCCACGAAAGAGCATCGCTTCCCTCCACTACTAATTCCTAATCATTCCTTGCACACATTTAAATGGGAGTCAGTACTGATGTTGTTTGCGATGGGGTCTTGTTGGTCTGTCTTGTGAATTCTTTTTTTATCTTGGTTACTTCTTCCTGCTCATTCCGTTTACTCCATTCTCGGCAAATATGTAATTTGTCTCGCTAATGCGACTTCATCCTTTTCTCACTGAAATATATAACTGCCGACCATCATCACAAGCATCTGGCTATCTTGACGAGTAACGCTGGGATCTCATTGGTGGTGTATGCGATTGTAGTGCTGTAATAATTTGGGGGTGGGGG